GCGCTCGCGGGCTCCTGGGTAGGGTCCCCCCGCCACCACCAGTAAACCTCCCAGGGTCCCCGCTGAACCCCGGTGACCCTCAGGCCCAAGCTCCATCTCCCGGCCGGCCCTCTCCAGGGCGCCCCCACCTCGGATGCTTTCTGTTCGGTCAGAAACTCCCAGGAGCAGCCTCGAGCCTCTGGGGCCCTGGGTGGAGGCTCGGAGTGGGAGTGGGAGTGGGTGTGGGTGCGGGTGGGGGTGGGAGTGGGTGCGGGTGGGGTGGGGGTGTGGGCCTCACCCGCCCGCCGCCTCCTCCTCCGCTGCAGCACAACAATGGCTTCTATGGGCACTACCGAGGCCAGTTCAAGAATGAGAGTGCCCTCGAGTACCGCCTGGCGGCCAAGCCCCAGCCCCCGACAGTCTTCCTGCAGCGATGCAAGGTGGGCGCGGGCGGGGGGCGACCGGGGGCGGGGGGGAGGGGTCTGCGGCTCACCGCACCTGTCTCACTGCAGCTGTCTCATTGCACCTCTCACCGCAGCTGTCTCACTGCAGCTGTCTCACTACAGCTGTCTCACTGCACCTCTCACTGCAGCTGTCTCACCGCAGCTGTCTCACTACAGCTGTCTCACTGCACCTCTCACTGCAGCTGTCTCACCGCAGCTGTCTCACTACAGCTGTCTCACTGCAGCTCTCTCATTGCACCTCTCACCGCAGCTGTCTCACTGCAGCTGTCTCATTGCACCTTTCACTACAGCTGTCTCACCGCAGCTGTCTCACTGCACCTCACTGCAGCTGTCTCACTGCAGCTGTCTCACTGCAGCTGTCTCACTGCACCTCTCACTGCAGCTGTCTCACTGCAGCTGTCTCACCGCAGCTGTCTCACTGCACCTCTCACTGCAGCTGTCTCACTGCATCTCTCACTGCAGCTGTCTCACCGCAGCTGTCTCACTGCACCTCTCACTGCAGCTGTCTCACCGCAGCTGTCTCACTGTACCTCTCACTGCAGCTGTCTCACCGCAGCTGTCTCACTGCAGCTGTCTCATTGCACCTTTCACTACAGCTGTCTCACCGCAGCTGTCTCACTGCACCTCACTGCAGCTGTCTCACTGCAGCTGTCTCACTGCAGCTGTCTCACTGCACCTCTCACTGCAGCTGTCTCACTGCAGCTGTCTCACCGCAGCTGTCTCACTGCACCTCTCACTGCAGCTGTCTCACCGCAGCTGTCTCACTGCACCTCTCACCGCAGCTGTCTCACTGCACCTCTCACTGCAGCTGTCTCACTGCATCTCTCTCACTGCAGCTGTCTCACCGCAGCTGTCTCATTGCAGCTGTCTGACCGCAGCTGTCTCACTGCACGTGTCTCACTGCACCCGTCTCACTGAACCCATCTCACTGCACCTGTCTCACTGCACCCGTCTCACTGCAGCTGTCTCACTGCACCTGTCTCACTGCAGCTGTAGTTAAAACCTTCCCACGGGTAGCAGCCACTCTCCTCTCCTCTCACGTGGCATGTAGGCATCTTATCCATGTCATTAAGACACAAAACAATTCCATTTTCTTCCAAACCAAGCTGATTGATTTCTAGCCTTCACCTGCCTGACTCTTGGGAAATGTCATTCTAGTCCTGGGTCATGGCGGGGTGGGCCGCTGGCGGTGCCATAACTATGGGTCCCTGTCCAACACCCTCAGGCAGCACAGAGGGTCTGCCCTCAGCACCAGTGGCTGCAGACTGGCCGCCTCCGCGGGGCCCTTGCCTCCCACATGCAAAAGGCCCCTTTCAGGAGACCCCCCGCCCCAAAGGCCTCTTCAGCCTGAGCCCCCGAGCCCCTGTGCCCCCTGCTCAGAGACCATGGATTCACCCCTTGGTGGAAAAGGAGCCCTAGATGGTTTAGAACAAAGATGTAGGTGAAGTTCTGGGGGCAGACACTCCGAGCTGGGTGGGGAGGGAAGGACCACAGTCTTCCCAGGCCCCCAGGTTTTTAAGTTCAAGTCTGTATTGAGACGATTGTAGATACATAAAACAGGTGTGAGAAGTCATAGAGAGCCCTTTCACTTTG